GAGAAGTTACTGGACTCCCGCTGCTCTAAATATGGTCAGAGCTGAGACAACAGACAAGCCTTACCTGGGACTGGGGGCCTAATTGAATGACGCTGGCCAGCGTGACTGGGTTCCAGCTGTTGGATGCTGAGAGGAAGCTTTGGCCAATCTCCAGAATGAATAAGAATGAACTATTACTCTAGCTAGGTCTCTCAGTATCATACTCTATCAGTATCTCGGGCACACATGTGTCCAAAGAGCAGATCTGCCTTCTTCTAGATAATGCTACTATCAGTAACACTGGGCTTCGAAGACATCACACCGTCAAAGCACCATAACTATGGTCACCAAACTGTGGAGATCCAGACAAACATTGAGAGGAGTCAGGCACTAGACCCAGACCCCTGCCTTTGAGAGGGGTCTTATTTCTGATTCCTCCAATGTCATTGTGTGAATCCCATCTTAGCAGACCCCATTGGATCTTGAAACAGCCCCAGCCCAGAGAAAGTTCACAATTCAACTTGTCTTGGTTTGTGATTCAACCTGATTTTGAGTTACTAAAGCCCCTGCAGGAACACGTTCTCCCCAAAGTGATGTGACCATGTTATCTCTGCCTTATGGTTTCTTGTACATGAGTCTAAAAGGGGAAAGAAGGGGCACAGAAAGGGGCAGAGGAAGGAAGGGGAGACAAATGCAAATCTTTTGTTCACTGTAAAAATGCAGAATTTTATTGACAGGATCCGAATATGGTACTTTTAATGAATCATGTAGTCCAACTTCTATACCTGGTGGTTAGTATATCCCATTAATTCAAAGCCCTAGGTGCACATAAAAATCGCATATAACTTTTTAAACAAATGGCCAGAAATCATTTAATATTGAAGTACTTATTTCTGCCTGGACATTGACTTTTCATATTGAGAAAATTTCTGAGAGAACAAGACTCAAACAGATAGATATTGGAATTATAAGACTACCGCAAAACAACTGCAGAATCTGATAAATCAAGGGAACTGACTGACTGTTTCAATCGCTCACTTCACAGGTGCCTCATTTCAAAGTTTAACCCAGACGTTAACATTCAAATCAAGTTTGTGTATAATTTGGGCAAACAAAATGCTTCTCTTTACAAAAGATACATGATCACTCATAAAATGTTGCCAGGTGAATTGATTAAGAATGCACAGCACTCTTCTAATAGCAACCTGAGATCCAAATCTTGCTAGCTCCAAAGGAATTTTTTAAACAAGCAAGAAGAGGAACTGTAGAGGGGGCCATGCAACCGACTGGTTCAATGACAGTATCATTAAATGACAAGCGCTGATAAAATAAAGCCTCGCTATGATCATTACCCCTGTGCACAGGAGAAGCACACATGCTTCTCCTCCTGAGACACTCAGGCTTCAGTAAGGACAGGCAAAGAAACATGCATGGTGAGAAAGCAGAAATCTGAGAGGATTCTGTGAAAGAACTTGAATCATCAAGATCCTCATTTTGGCATGGCCCCCGCCCCCCACCACTTCTTCCCCTGATTGGTGTCACAAGTGTCTGGCATGCACTTTATGCTACTCGCACAACCTGTTTTACTATAAAATGGGTAGACTGAAAGAATGCCTCCTTACGGCTGGCATTTATGCATTTCCTAATTGTGATAGTTAATTTTGTATGTGTCAAGTTGACTGCCACATGTGATGTCCGGACATTTGGCCAAACATTACATTCTAGGTATGTCTCTGATGGTGTTTCTGGATGAGATTAACATTGCAATCAGAAGACCAAGTAAACCGACCACTCTCCCCAATGTGGGTGGGTCCTATCCAATCAACTGAAGACCCAACCAGAACAAGAAGACTGAGGAAGAGGGAGCCCCTCCTGCAGAACGTCAGTCTTTTCCGGCCTTAGGACGCAAACTGAAACATTAATTCTTCCTGGATCTTGATCCTGCCAGCTTTCAGCTCAAAATTAATATACACGCTGTTGGTTCTGTCTCTCTGAAGAACCCTGACCAATATACCCATTTACTGAGATTGTTTCCAAAATGAAATCAGACACTCACACATACACACACGCACAAGCATTTAACAGTGTTACTATTGGGAGAGGATATGGGGAGAAAAAAGGGTTTACTTTACATTTTGATCACTGTGTACTGTTAAAATTTTCTAACTTTATATATGTATTATTTTTAGTTTAAAAATAGCAATAGGAATTATCAGGCCAGAAAGAATATATTTCATTAGTTATAGTTTCTCTTTTACATTCTATATAATTAAAAAAATACATTTCCATAGGTATAAATATATGAAAATGCACAGAAAAAGAAATGAAAAGGGATATACCAAACTGGCAATTACTTCTGGTTTGAAATTGAGGTGATAGTCAAGGGTGAGTTCAGCTGTTTTTGTTTTGTTTTGTTTTTTGTTTGGTTGGTTTTCTTTTCTTGGTAACATGTGCATATTTTACCAGAGAATATAATTATATACTTATTTATTGTTATTCAAGAGAAAGAAAACTAAATAATTATTATTTTAAAAATTGTTTCCCAAAAGTCTGAAAATTTAGAAGTTACATTCACCAAACTGTCTTCTTCCTTTGTTTAATAGTTCTACCTTATGGTTTATATAGGTGAAATGCGGTTTTCTTTGCAAATGTCAATGGTTTTTTAACTTGTCTTTTTCATAGACCTTGAACCCCGCCCCCCTTCCTGCCCCCGCAACCAAATACACAGGATCACAAGGGGCCTAGCCATTGCCAGCTAAAAAGCAGCAATAGTTCTGGTGCTATGTTTCTGGAATGGTAGAGAGGGGAAAGAGGTGATGTATCCATCCGGTGTTTTAAATAAAATTACTGATATATTCATAAACATACAAGTAGGGTCTGAAGAGGAGTTGGAATGGGTGTTGCCTGGCAACCACCCTCCTCCTTCCTAAGAGCAGACACTCTTTAGCTGCGCTTTTTGTTGGAGTTCACTTTTTTAGTTCAAATCTTGCCCTGTTTGTTTTTACAGATTTCACCCATATGATAAACACGTAGCACGAGAAGCACTTTCAGAAGGAAATTCCTTTTCTCCCCTCTCCCATGATTAAAGCAACATGGAACTGAATTTCATGAGCTTCAATATAACAACTCTATATTAAAAATTTCTTATTGTTAATTGTAGATAAAAAACATAAAACATAAAATTTACCATCTTAACTATTTGTAGGTATATAGTTCAGAAATATTAAGTATATTCACATTGCTGGGCCGCCAGTGTTTAGAACGTTTTCATCTTGTAAAATGAAACTCAGTATCCATTAAACAACATCCCCCCATTTCTTTCTCCACCCAGCACCTGGCAGCTACCATACTAGTTTCTGTCTTTACGAATTTGACTAATTTAGGTACCTCAGTAAGTGAAATCATACAGTATTTGCCTTTTTGTGTCTGGCTTACTTCACGTCCTCAACGTTCATCCATGTTCTAGCGCGTGTCAGAATTTCCTTCCTATTTAAGGCTCAATACTCTCCCATGGTATGTTTATACAACATTTTGGTTAACCATTCATCTGTTAATGGACACTTGAGTTGCTTCCTTGGTTATTGTGAATAGCGCTGCTATGAACACAGATGAACAATCAAGTATTTCTAAAGCCATTTTTGAAGTGATTGTCATGGGAAAAAAAATACTCAAAATTAAGCAGTGGCATATTCTCAGAGGCCTACACCAGAGCACCTTAAAGGGCCATGCAAACGACAAGCCTCCCCATCTTCTCTATTAGTAGAGACTCCTTAAGCACACAACCAGGCTGCAGATCTAGAAGGAGAAGGGTCTTATACTAAATAGTGTGAGTTGGTACAGAGTCTCTTTTTGGATTTGACTTCCCATGACTCTTCTGCATCCTGGAAATAGTAAGATCCCAATGACCAAGATCAGGAGAGGAGGCTTTGAGGAAAAGGGATCCAAGTTACGGCCCTGCCTACTGCTAACTTTGGAAAAGATCTTTTTGGAGAATTACACTTAAGCCAGTCCAGGTCACTATGGTAGGCTTCTTATGTGGGACAATGCAATCAAAATTTACGATCAGTGATTTTCAGCCAAACGCGGTGGCTCACACCTGTAATCCCAGCACTTCGGGAGGCTGAGGTGGGTGAATCACCTGAGGTCAGGAGTTCAAGACTAGCCTGGTCAACATGATGAAATCCCGTCTCTATTAAAAATACAAAAATTAGTCGGGCATGGTGGTACTTGCCTATAATGCCAGCTACTCCAGAGGCTGAGGCAGGAGAATTGCCTGAATGCAGGAGGTGGAGGTTGCAGTGAGCCGAGATGGCACCACTGCACTCCAGCCTGGACAACAAGAGCAAAACTCCGTCTCAAAAAAAAAACAAAAAACTTCATTGATTTTCCAATGAATGTTCCGTAAGCAATCCATAGGTGTGTTGCCAAATCTTGATCAATATGTAAAATTTATTTTTGCCACATTGAGCAAGCACATTATTATGACAGAGCCTTAATTTAATATTGAACAAGGAAGAATATGAGGTTCAGAATGTGTGCATGGTGGAGGAAAGAGGCAGGATCATTTGTCCTAAGTTAAACATAAGAGGTGCCCTGTTACATCATGTTGGGTCCAGAGAAAGAGCATGTGGTTATCAGAACATGAAAGAACTTTGATCCATGAGTATATTACGCCAGGGTGGTCAGGGCAATAAAATTTCTGCTCCAACAAGAAGGCAAACAAAAGAACTGTGTGATCACTGTAGATATCTTTATAGATACCATAAAACTCTGTTTTGTTTAGTAGCAATTGTGTCGCAGTTAATACTGACTTGTTTGGTATGGTTTATAGTTTATTGACACTCAAATATGACAGGAACAAAATATTTTTTATTAGAAAGAGTTTAGCGACCACAAAAGAGATTTAGACCACCTATCCATAGGTGATAGGAAAAGAGGCTATGAGACCCACTGCTGAAATGCCTGTTTTCTAAAAATGTCCCCTAGGTGGCAAATACCCATCTGGAATGGGCAGCAGCAGTGGCCAAGAGACCAAAGACCCCGGATGAAAACCTCAGCCCTCTCGCTTTCCATTAGAGACATGATGGAGAATTTATTTGGAAACAGCAAAGCAAAATGTAAATGAGGTTTTTAAAATTGTTATTTATGGGCAATAAAATAATAACAATTTGAAATTTAAAAGACCCAGATTAATTTCCCAACTTTTCTTGTTCACCTTTAATTGTCAGCCCAAAGTGCTGTTTTGTGTTTTGACAATGGATGGCTAACCTCTGTGAGGTGAAATAACTTTTGGATTTTTTGATTTGGTCATTTCCTTTAGAAAACGAAGACACTGCGCCCTACTCCTCTGGATATAGAACTCACCTCTGCAGCGAGTCTCATGCCTCTTCACCTGGATGGACAGAGAAGCAAGGGCAATTTTCATCTGTGTAAGATTACACGTAAATGTTGAATTGTGTGCATATGCTGTCGTAGACTGGAAACAAACGCTGAATAACATCTGAATGAATTATAAGATATATTTTATACTTAACATTTTTCAAAAAACACCTCCTGCTGTTAAAACCCATGCTCCATAAACATCTTCAGTAAAGCAGTGATCAAAGTGAGAATAACAACCCCCAAATGATAAATTGGTCAAATTTAGAGAAGTCTAAATAAGCAGTGTTTTCCTTACCAGTCAAACGCAAAGGTTACACACAATGCTCACCACCTGCCCTCTCCTTGTTTTTGATTATAAAACAATGACTTCATTTGTGTCAGAACCAAATATGAGTAAAAGCTATTAACCAAGGTCTAGTAGTTATCTAACAAATATTTTAATTGAATGATCTTTCTACACATGACAGTATTGCATTAGGACTGCTTGAAAAGAAAATATTCACTGCATGCAATTTAAAAAGTTTTTTCTCTCTTTGAAAAGGATAGCCTCAAGTGAAATTGATTAGCAGTAAAGAATATTAGAAGAATACATTTATACCATAGTCTATGTTTGGAATGCAAAATAGATCTAGAAAATTTGGCATGCGTACAACAATTCAACATCCCTTAGCAGATTATTAATGAAAAGTAATACAAAATTAATTGGCATCTCTAATTTTTAAAAATGATTTCTTTAATAAGAACTATTTCTACTGCGCCTTCTTTTTGAAATGAGCAACAAATATATTACCAAAACCATTTGGAATCATTCTGGAATCTAATCTAAAAAAGAACATACCTATCTCTTAAATCTTACCAAGTTATAATTTATTAATTTCCACTTATTGTTAAAAAAAAAAAAGTCTAAAGGTAAATTCTGACGGCAACTACCTTGCAGATACAGTAATAAGTATTATTAAATCATTTCATACAATACAGAGCATTCTCTGCCATTTTCTATAATAGTAAATGTGGTAAGAGTAACTTGAGAAGGAAGTAAAGCAGCAAAGCTCCTTGGTTAGTCAAAGTCATCAGTGCTGCGTACAGACAATGTTCAGAATCTGACCTAGGGCATCAATAAAACAACTAAGATACGGACTCTTTCAATGACACACAAGCGTTATGTCATTAATGGAGCTTGGATTGTAGCAATGTATTCTTATAAGGTGACAAATTAACCATATGGCTACCTCGTAGAGGACAAAACTAAAATATATTAAACTCTGTGGGGTAAATACACCCACAGGCAAATCTAATATACTGACATGTTTAATACTAATTGAAGCTGATTGATTTACGTATTTTACGTTCTCAACTCTCCAAAATGATGTATTTAATGTTTTATTTTTAAACACAATTAAAAAATAATATATAAATATATACATACTGCAAATGTAATACAGATAACAAATTCATTTAAGCCCATTTATGCACATTAGTAACACACCATGTGGCAGAAAGACTAGGACTACAAGAAGACCCCTTGGCGATTTATTTTATATTAAATCCCTAATGGCCTCTCCTTATCTTTGCAAAAATATGCACGAAAGTCCAGACTATGCAGCCATTGAAATGAATGGTTATTTATTTGCTAAACGAGAACCCTATGTTTAATGTTCCTTAGACATAAGGTAGTCTGGAAAAGTCGTATTCCTACAGCTCCATACATCATTTATTTTACATACCCTAACTTCTCACAACAGGCAGCGGAAAAATATCTCTGAACAGCATTGTAAGTTGCTGAGATTTTTGTTTCCAATTCCATTACTGGAAGATTAAATGTTAACATGTTTACTTGCTGCTTTAGCAACAAAAACAAATTCTTGTACCGTCTTGGTGCCTGACACATACATGAATATAAAATGGGAGAAAGTTTGCACATATCCAAAACTAAAATCAAACAATGGATGAATACCAAAAGTTTGAACTTACAAATTAATCTCAATTAAATACCAGAGAGAAAGCTTCATGTACTTTAAATTTGTCTACAAAAAAAAAAGTACTAATGATTGGAAAGTTCTAAGAGTGTGTTCTTGCTCTTTCAAAGAGTAAAGGTTGTTTTTTCCCCTTCGTATAACATGCTTAAAATAATGCCACAAAACTTGGCCCTGGACATACTGGTTTTTAATATTCATGCTGACATTGACACACTTTCCTATCAAGTGATTTTCCATTAAATCACTTGATTTTGGTTCACACAACCAAAATGTTTCAGTTCCAGAGATACCCGATATCCGTAGGTGATAGGAACATAAGCAAAACCACACTGTTGGCTCTTTCCCTTAATGCCTCTCCAACTTCTGACGGCCTCAGATAGTCAAAATCTATAAGGTTTTCAAGGAGGAATTCCTTCTAAGATGGTGAGAGAGGTAAAAGCAGCATAATGAGATTTCATCTACTTCTTTGAAAATGTTGTGATGTTATGGTCTCACACATCACTTTGGGAAGGGTGATACATTGTCTTGGTGCTTCAACTAAACTTTCTAACAGAAGCATTTACAAAGAAGCAAATACCTGGCATGGGAGAATGTGTAGAATGCAAAAAGGGACAAAGACCACCTTCCTTATCTTGGAGGAAGCAGTAACTTATTTTTCTCTATAGGGTATACACAGATAAGCAGAACAAGCAGTACTTATAAGGCACAATTGCAGGGTCGCGGCCTGGGGCTAATTCTTGCCCTGATCCTAGGTAAAAACTCAAGCAATTCCCATGACTTTTTCTAGATACTCTTAGTTAACATAACTCCCCAGGCATTTCAATTCACAATATGGAGCCTCAATTTCGTAATCAAAATGTTCAACCCCATGTCATAGTCAAAACTGCAATCTCAGAGAGGGTTCAGCCTCTCCCCTGCCCCAGCTAGGGCTGGCTGCTGGTGGAAGGGGATGCGGTCTCTCTCCCTTTCATTCTTTCTCCACCTCTTCCTTCTATCCCTCATTTATCTTTCTAGCTGTAGATTCCTGACCCACCTGGGTTGGTGCACAAGGAAGCAAGATGAGGTAAGAAGAGTAGAAAACTTAGCACTTTGCTGTTGCTTTCTGGAGTCTGTAAATATTAAACTGTCTGTTCTTCACAGGTGTTTACACTGACACTTTGTCTCATGGGTCACCTGTGGATCTGCTGGAGCTCCTATCTTCTGTCTCCCCTGGGGCCCTAGACAACTGGAATGCATTTCTATTCCTCATTTCCCAGCCCTTGGGAAGCTGGCTCTGCCTCTCACTTCTCTCCGCTGAGATCTGCATCGTGTTCACTCTAAGTCAGGCCTCTTGGATGAGATCTAAGAAAAATGCACACGGCCTTTCTCACATATGGCCCAGATCAGCCTGTCTACTACTCTGACAATTTTTCCAGGGTACAGGCTGCTCAGGGCAGCCACCTATTCTACACCCCACTGTGAAGCCAGCTAGTCGGCACATTTTTTTCACTTTAGATATCCACAGGCGAGGCACATGCCCAGTGTCCCCCAAACTGGGGCACCCAGGCCTCTCTTTGGTGGGCCTTCCAAACTATTGCCCAGGCTTGGGTTGAGGGATTGATGCCCCCACTCCCTTCCTCACAGGGAGCCCCTGTGTTTCAAAATTTCTTCTGTTTTCTATTTCCAAATCCCAGTCCTTTCATTCCCTCTAAGAGGGTGAGAGGTTTAAAAGTAGCGTACTGAGATTTCGTCTACTTCTTTCAAAATGTGTCACGGTCCCATATCACTTTGGGAAGAGTGAGCTATTGTCTTGGTGCTTCAACATAACCTTCTAACAGAATGTCTCTCTGCAAGGTGTCTTCCATGTGCCCTCCAGAGCCAGGCTTTACCTTCCTCCACCCTGTTCTCTGCCACAGCACAGCAACTTTACGGACAGCACTGAGCCTCTTCTGGCCGCTGACTTCCTGTTAGTTTCAGCCAACAGAAAGTCCCAGTGGGTGCTGGGAAGGAGAATGAGAGTGAGGGCAGTGTGTTTGTTCCTACATTTCCTTTTGTTTAGCGTCAGCATGAACTTGGCCATTCCTTGACCAAAAGCCCTCTAGAAGTGCTCCTTTCTTTTCGACCATTTCCTCCAAGTTTTTGAAAACTTCTCTCTTACTTTTCCTTTCAGGCTTAAGGTGGTAACTTCTGGGATGCTACCAAGTTCCTTGCAGTCTTCCTCATGCTGCCTTCATTTAATAAAATGGACCAGGCACGGTGGCTCACTCCTGTAATTCCAGCCCTTTGGGAGGCCAAGGCGGGCAGATCACCTGAGGTCAGGAGTTCGAGACCAGCCTGGCCAACATGGTGAAATCCTGTCTCTACGAAAAATAAAAAAATTAGCCGGGCATGGTGGTGTGCCCCTGTAATCCCAGCTACTCGGGAGGCTGAGGCAGGAGAATTGCTTGAACCCTGGAAGCAGAGATTGCAGTGAGCTGAGATTGTGCCACTGCACTCCAGCCTGGACAACAGAGCGAGACTCCATCTCAAAAATAAATAAATAATAAATAAATAAATAAATAAAATGGTTCACCTTATTAGACCTTCCTCAAATTGTCTTAATTAGATGGGCCATCTATTCCTGCTGGTACCCAGATGGATACTATTTTGTTAAAAATATATTACCTCGAGATGTGCAGAATTACAACATTTTTCCAACTCTATTATACCATATTAAATGTGAATTTACCCAGTTTCCTATTCCAGAGTTTTGAACAAACATTTCTAACTTGATCATCCAAGCATATTTTTACTCTTTGTAATTTCCTATTACTGTGAATTCTTGCAAATCCAAAGCAAATCATTATGAACATTTTAAAAGTAGTTCAGAGGTTGGGTGCAGTGGCTCACTTTGGGAGGCTGAGGCATGAGGATCACTTAGGACTAGGAGTTCAAGACATCCTGGGCAACATAGAGTCTCGCTATGTTGCCCAGGATGGTCTTGAACTTCCTCTCTACAAAAAATAAAAATAAAAATAAAAAATTAGCTGGGCATGGTGGCACATGCTTGTAGTCCCAGCTACTCAGGAGGATGAGGTGGGAGGATCACTTGAGCCCAGGAGTTCAAGGCTGCAGTGAGCTTTGATCACACCACTGCACTCCAGCCTGGGTGACAAAGCAAGACTCTGTCTCAGAAAAACAAAAGCAAAATGAAAATAAATAAAAGTAGTTCATTAAAACCTTCTATACTGCTGTGGATCTTTAAACCTGGAAAGAGAATATTAAATCCCTAGAGCCCTGGTCCTGTCTCAGAAGTCAAGATTTATCAGTTAGATTAGAACTTGATTTCATCACTGTCCTTTCCCCATGCTCACTGATAATGTGACTCTTCTAACAGGCTTAAGAAAATATTGCAGGATGATCTTTACCTGAATAAAATCCAAGACAACTAAAACTGTGAACAAGTTACAAATACATGAGAAGCTAGGTGTCAAAGACACAGTACTGTTTGGGGGTTCTAATGGACTTTAAATGACCACAGATTATTTCCAGCTTCTCTCATCTGGAGCAGGAGTCTCCTTCCTCACTCTTTGTCTGAGTGGCCCCATGACTTCCTCTGACAGACAGAATGTGGCGTGATCTTGTGGGACTTCTGAGTCTCAGCCCCCAAGTTCTCACTTCTGACATCTTCGAAGGTTTCTGTTCTCATATAAGAAGGCCAGGATGAGAGACCACAAGGGGAGAGAGGCCTAGCTGCCCAGCCCTTTGCTCCAGCCTTCCCAGCTGAGGCCCCACCCACACAAGTGAGGCCACCCTGCATCAGCCAGTCCTAGCCTGTTGTAGCCCTTGACTCCTGCCACATAAGTCAGCTCAGGCAAGACCAGCAGAATCGTGAGAATACTACATTGTTTTCTTAAGTTGTGGCGTGGCTGGCCACGGCTCACACTTGTAATCCCAGCACTTTGAGGGGCTGAAGTGCGAGGATCACTTGAGGTCAGGAGTTCGACAGCAGCGTGGGCAACATAGGGAGACCTCATCTCTACAAATATATACACATATATTTTTTAATTAGCTGCTACTTAGAAGGTTGAGATGGGAAGAGCGTCCAAGCCTGGGAGGTCTAGGGTGCAGTATGCCATGATCACATCTCTGCACTGGAGCCTGTGTGACAGAGAGAGACTCTGTTTCAAAAAATAAAAATAAAAAAAAATAAATTCTGGTGTGCTATCGTACAGCAATAGCTAATGAAACATGGGCTTTCCTGTCTTTCATGCCAAAACTACTAAATTGTGTCCACAGCTGGCTAATTTGTCCAGGCAGTTCCAGACTACTGTGGACTAGGTAATCATCAATGGTAACAATTAATTGATTCTTCTTTGACCTAACATAGAATAATGAAGTAGTAATAGGACTTTTGAGTCAGATGTCCCTGGACTGGAATGCCACTTTCTGGTTTCGGGTAGTGTATTTTCTCTCTCAGTCTTAACCACCTATAAAATAGATACAATCACCTATGTCATTAGAAAGGTGTCCGAATTTTAGAAGATAATTAATGTAAAACACCTGCCACTGTACTGGGACCATAGTAGGTACTCAATGAATGGGAGTTCCCTTCCTCAGTATCTGTGTAAATGCATGCATCCACAAGTTGAAACCTGAATCAACTCTCTCTAAACCAGTGGTTCAAAGTGTGGTCTCTGAACCAGCAGCCTCAGTATCACCAGCGAACTTACTAGAAATATAAATTCTCAGGTCCCATCCCAGACCTACTGAGTCAGAGTTAGAAACTGTAAGAGTGGGAGAGTGGGGCCTGGAAATTTGTGTTCTACCAAGCCCTCCAGGTGATTCTGATGCAGGCTAGACTTTAAAATGCACTACTCTGGACTAAGAGAAATCAGGATAAAAGCGAGTAACAATTTGGATATTTCTTCAGTTTACACTTGAAAAATGCTTTCGGATACACTGTTACGGTGTTACTGGACTCTGTGCAGAAAGACTATAACGTTTTCTGTCTGTAAACATTCTGGGGATAGGCAGTTTCAAATAATTGCTTTATTTAATTTACTTGACACTTATGAGGGGCTTACCTTGTGTCAGGCACCATTCTAAGCACTTTGCAAATATTAACCCATTTAATCCTCAGGACAATCCTTGGAAGTAGTTACTGGGATGATGTCATTTCACAGAGGGGACTCACTGAGGTTAAGTAACTGGTGGAGGATCAGAAGCTGGTGTCAGAGCGAAGACTCCAACCCAAGTAGATTCCATACCTTTAACCACCACCTCACACAATCTGTGTCTGTGTGTGTGCGTGTGTCTGTCTCTCTCTTAGACAGGGTCTTGCTTTGTGGCCTAGGGTGGAGTGTTGGAGTGCAATGGCCTACCACAGCTCACTGCAGCTTTAAACTCCTGGGCTCGAGCCATCCTCCCACCTCAGCCAGCCTCCAAAGTAGCTAGCTAATTTAAAAAAAAATTTTTTTCTTTTGGTAGAGATGGGAATCTCCCTATGTTCCCAAGGTAGTCTCAAACTCCCAGCCTCAAGTGATCCTTCCACCTTGACCTCCCAAAGTGCTGGGATTATAGGCGTGAGCCACAATGCCCAGCCTCAACCTCCCTTTACTATGATCGTTACTTTCTGTCGAGGATGGGTCAGCAATTTGCAACATTTCACAAGTTCCCTGATGGTCAGCTGCTACTCAGTATTTCACACCATGATATAATAAAGAGGTAATTATACAAATTATACAAAATAATATCACATATAGGGAACTAGAATTTATCTTTTACTTGAAGATTCAAACAGCAGAGTGGTAAAAACGGATTAATGCTCTCTCGAGCATCCATTTCGTGTTTAATCCTGAGAAACACCCAAGATAGACACAGGGAGAGAGGAGGGACCAATGTGATGTTCATGGCGTTTTCACAGACTCAGAAAACCCAGAGCTGGGACCAAGAAAGGGCCTTAGGAATTCTTGTTTTGCAGCTAGAGGGAGATTCCCTTTACAATTAGGGAGAATTAACTAAAGCTTTCCTCCCACTGGAAGCTGGGTAGCAGAACAAAATTATGAAACAATCGAGCACATACTGATGTCTTATCTGTCATTTTCTCCATTACAAAGACCTTACAGGCCAGGTGTGGTGGCTCACGCCTGTAATCCCAGCACTTTGGGAAGCTGAGGTGGGCGGATCACCTGAGGTCAGGAGTTTGAGACCAGCCTGGCCAACATGGTGAAACCCTGTCTCTACTAAAAATACAAAAATGAGCTTGGTGTGGTGGCGGGTGTCTGTAATCCCAGCTACTCAGGAAGCTGAGGCGGGAGAATCACTTGAACCCAGGAGGCGGAGGTTGCAATGAGCTGAGATCACATCACTGCACTCCAGCCTGGGCAACAGAGCAACAGGGCAGGTGAAAGTCTGTCTCAAAAAACAAAAACAAAAACACCTTACAGCTTTTTTGTTTTGCTTTGTTTTAAATTTCTAACTTGATGGAAAGTATGTGATGCTTGTATTGTCTCTGTCACCAAACAAAAAGGACTGTTGACTTGGCTTCAAAGTTTCAAAAGTTATGAGGCTCATTTTCTGTAACCTCCTATTTCACATTGTATCACATCAGGATACTGTGTGGGGATATTCCGGCAAAAAGTGCCTTCTGGGTTTGCACATGTCTTTCCCACCTCTTTTGCCCGATCTGAGTCCGTTTGTGCCTCTGGGGCTCCTCCCAATGGTTCCAGGGATTTTAACCTTGATCTACATTTGAAGCTCTCAGCCTATTTTCCAGATCCTCTGACACTCAAACATTATTCTTGCTCCTCTCTCGTCACTCAGCCTTCTCCATCTCCTGTACACTCTGAAATAATCTGTCAGAAGAGCCTCATCCTGTCGTGCTGGCTTACTCTGGATCAACAGACAAAGACTTCAGCTCTATCTCTGATGGACTGAGTAGGAAGAATCAGGCAAGTGCTTTACTAATTAACTGGATTCCACAGTCCCTCCACCACCAATCAGCCAAAGGCAGGCATCCCAGTCTCTGTTGTCACCCTCACAGTCCTGAATGCACGCCTGCCACAGCTTGTCCAACATTGCTCGTTATTCTCCCATTTGCATTCTTTCCCGTCTTTGTGTAGCACGAGTTAACCCACCAGGTTTCCCAGAGCTAAATCCAGAACGGACCCAAACACTAGGGGTAAGGCCATTTCACTGCTGCTCTTAACTCAACATCAGTAACCAGGCTCTCTCTCTCTCCTCCCTCCTAGTTCATATTCTTCTCTGTGCTGGAATGTTTTTCCTTTGCCACCCACCT